CCCCGCCGCGCCGCGCGCTCCCAGGCCGGGACCCCTCTGCAGCGCGCCGCCCCCCGCGCTCCGCGCGCAGCCGCCGCTCTGTGCCAGGCACCGTGCGAGGCACGGCGCGTTCATTCATTCTCCGGCCCTCCCCCCGGGTTCGGCGCTGAGCGCCCGCTACGCCGCTCAGGCGCTGGGAACTGACCGGTGAGCAAGACCAAGTCATTGTTCTTACGGTGACACGTTTGGAAGCAGTGGCCAGTGCTTTCATTTCTGTTCTCCTTTTTATTTTTTTTTCTTTTTTTCTCGCGGTTTATTTTGCATCCGCTCCCTTGAAGATTTCTGTGCGGTAAGATTCATTGTCCTGTGGACAAATTATCGATAGTCGAATCAAATTATTTTCAGTGTGCACTGCTGGATTGTGGGGGGTGGGGTGCAAAGTCAAGGAGGTAGAGCTGGACATTGAGAAGGTGGATTGCGGAGATCGGGACTTTAGTTTCCAACCAGTGACTGATTTAGGTAACAGGCCAAGTCCCTTCTCTAAAGTGAGGAGAGAATGGAACTTAGCCATTCAGTGGAGAGAGGATGGAGAAGAGGTGACAGCAGATAAATGAAGTGGAAGGACAGAAAGAAGAGTTAGAGGCTGGAAGGGGGGCGGGGCTTTGTCCCAAATGTCAGAGTGAAAAGGGTGTTAGCAGGAACCAGGTCATCTTGAGCAAAGGACATCAAGAGGAGCAATCTTGATGAGATGCATGGAAAGCCAGTAGAGTCTGGACTTCTGGAAGCAAGTGCAAGAAGCAGGAAGCTTCTGTTGGAAACAATTGGAAAGTCGTTGAGTTTTTTGGTATGTTGGCGTTTGGCGCAATGGGGATGGCGATTGGTTGGTTGGTTTTGGCTTAGATCTGGTTGGGTCCATGGGATAGGAGTTTTGATGGGGCGAGGGTTTTCTCCTAGCGTGTTTGGCTGTTCTGAGGAGCCTCGTTTCTTTAAGAAATGGGTGTTTGCAGTGTCCACCAGTTCTTCCCTGTGACTTGCTATCCACCAGGCTTTGAGATGATTTGCACACAATTCTCCTTCTTCCTCTGGGAAAGCCTTAGTGAAAACCTAGGGACATCTTTCCTCAAAGGGCTCTGTTCCCCTCCCTCTTCCCCCCGCCCCATGTAGACAAGAAGTACAACGACCTTTTCAGGGTATTGGAGTTTTTTTCACCAAGAGAATTCCGTTTATTTGGGATGTGTGTCATCACAGGAAGTATATATTTTTCTCACTTTGTTTTAGGGAATATGCACAGCCACCTTTTTTAAAATAATGCCGATTGCTTTTTTTTTCTTTTAAATGGGAGATTAGACACAGCCAGGTAAATGTTACCCAGATAAAGCTGGTTATTTGTATCCTGCAAGCAGAGGTTTTAACTTTTGCTGTTCTCAGAAGCCTGCAGATCTCTGTGTTATTGTGTATACAAATTGAAGATTTAAATATACTGATGAAGAGGCTACAATAGATAAGGCTCAGCTTTATCTTCATCTCATACATTTAGTACAGACCCATTTATTACTGTGTGTCTGTAATATCCCTGCCAGTGCCTCTCAAAGTGGAGACTTAAAACCTTTCTTGGGGAGAAGGAGGTAAACGCAGTTGTTTTTTGTTTGTTTGTTTGTTTTTGACAGTCTAATGAAAACTAGGACTTTCTCCCAGCAAAAATGCACAGCACAGGTACTTATTAAAATGATGATTTTGTGGTTCAAAATGGTCAGCCATCGGCAATTTCATGTGACTCAACCTACTACATAGTTTCGGGCAGTTCGGGGACCACAATTAAAACAAGGACCCTGTGTTAATGTTTGAAGCTAGAAGACAATCGAACTGAAACGATACCCCCTCCCCGACAGAGGAGGGCCGACTCCTGCATATGGTCTCATGTTCTCTCTCTCTAAAAAGAAAGTAAGTTTGAAAGTCTGAAAAAAACGTGTAAAGCCAAAGTTGTCTTTAATGTGAACTTAACATTACTGGCAGTGGGATGCATGGGCCAGGGCAGAAGTAAGAGTCTCCCAGGCAAAGGAGCATAGCATCAGTGGAATCCTCAGGTCTCGCCCATCAGGCACACCGTGGGATTTAGACTTCTTGTGGTATGGTGCTTTTGATGTTGAACCCTGAAGATCGACTGTCAAACTCCAACCTGTATGACTTGGTGTATAGGGTCGTAGCAGTAACAGGATTGTCTGTCACGTGCGTCGCTAAGAATCAGGACATTTGATACCTACCAGGTGCTCTCCAAGAGCCACACTGTCATCCAGCCTGGTGTGTTCAAAGCAAGATGAGAGCTACCAAAGTCGGCTGCCATGCCAGAAGACCATAGAACCCCTCAAACTGGCCTGGGGTTGTCGGTGGTCGCTAACCAACCAAGAGAGCGATCCGAGGGGATCAGCCCTCCCACCCAAAGAGCCTCTGCTGCAGACTCCCACTTCCGGTCCTTGGAGCATGCAGAGAGCTCGTGAAGCCCTTAGAGAGCTTGTGAAGCCCTGCTGGCCCCTTTGCACCGATTGGCAACCGGAGAGTGTGGGCGACGGGTCGAGTGGCCCGTCATTCTGTCTCAGGCAGGGAAGTCACTGAGAAAGTGAATATGGCTCTTCTCTTCCTGGGCAATAAAGGCCAGTTCTTGGATACTTTCTCAGTTATAAATGACTCCTGGTCACTGTGATTACTGTCTTTTTATTTTATTTTTTTCCTTTTTAGATTTGAAAGTAATATTAAAGAGAGAAGTATATAAAGTTATTCACCCAACAAATATTTATGATATATCAGGCACTGTTTTAGATGCCAGGAACAGCAGTGAACAAAAAGGCCTTGCTGTTATAGAGCTTACATCCCAGCAGGGAAAAACAGACAATAAATAATGCGTGATGGGTCCTCTGGAAGGAATAGAGCAGGACGGGGGTGAAGAGGATTGCCGATTTGTTTTGAGTGCTTTCAGGGAAGATTTCAGGAAGATGCTGTTTGAGCCATCACTGAAGGAACTCGTCAAGCTGCAGCTGTCTGGGGCTGAGTATTCCAAGTAGAGGCCACAGCAAAAGCAGAAAGCCTGAGGCAGGAACTACGGGGGAAAGTGGAAGGAGGTGGGGTACGAGTGCCCCTCTCTCCCCGCACACAGCTGGCACAGCTGGCGGGCCTCAGAATCCAAAGCAGGATTTTGGCTTTCACTTGAGCTTAGAAGCCATTGGCAGGTGTTGTGCATTAGGACGTGTTCTGACTTCCACTTTAAGTGGGTCGACCGTGTGTAATTGTTAATAGTGTCCCCTTCACACTTAGTCATGATCTGGTTCGGACAATAAATTATATGGTTGCCCTGATTTTAGAAGATTTACACTAGCTGCTGTATGGAAAATAGATTTCAGGTGGGCAAAGGTAGAAGCAGGGAGACAGGTTACCGTAATCTAGACAGGAGATGAGAATACCTTGGACCAGACTGGTAGCAGGAAGTGGTCAGATTCTGGATGTACTGTGATGCTAGTGCTGACACCATTTGCTAATGGTTTGGATGCTAGTTGGAAGAGAAGGGGAGGAGTCAAGAATGACTTAAAGGCTTTTGGCCAGAGGACTAGAAAAGGAGAAAGAAAAAAAGATTCCCAGAAACATAATGAAATCCATATTTCTCTAATCACCAGACTTTTTACTGAAAGAACTTGGGAACGAGGAGAATACCTGTTGTTGTTCAAATTCCAGCTTGATGTGGGGTGACTAGCATGCTGAATGCATTGTGATGCATGAGCCCAATGTTTCTGAGATTTGGGAATACTGGCAAGAGATATCTTTTACAGTTTTGCTGAAAATCATTGGGAGAGAGGATTAGTTTTAGTTCACATTGATTTGGGATAAATGGAGAAGAACATGAGAAATGAACAGAGACTTTCTCATGGGATCGAAAATAGGAATCGGCAAAAGCCTGGAAACTGGAAGAGATAAAAGGGCCTCACAAAGGGATAAAAATTTCATCATCTGTGTTGGGGATAGTTGCCCAGTCATCTCAACTAACAACCACTTTTTAATTGCTTATCTGCCAAGCAGTGTGATAAGCTTGCCAAAAACAAAGACTGGGGGAGTGGGGTGGAGCAGGCTTGCACTTCAACCGGAAGATGAATATTGCTCCCTCCCCAAAATGCAATGCAGTGCCAGACTTTCTGGGATGATAGTTCATATAGAAGACTGGAAGAAAGTAGGAGAAGGACCATGTGAGCCTACCTTGGGTGTGAGGATGACTGCACAGATTAGGGTGAGCGCTGAAGGTGAGAAGTTTGCCAAATGGACAAGTAGAGGGGATGGTAGGTGCAGAAGATCAAAGGCATGAGAACTTACTATGGGAGCACAAACTTTGTAGGGTAAGGGAGCAAATGGCAGAAGATGAAGCTGTACAGGTTTGTTTAAAATCATTTCGGGTCACTCAAACTCATCTATGTTAAAAGCCACATAAAAGAAAGACGTAAAGAATGTGAGCGTTGGGAGCAACTAGGAATGGAGTGTGCCATCCTGATCAAACATGTCTCTTAGGCAGTGTCCTTTTCAGTAGAGATGACGTAATGTGGGTTCTCTCTCCTGCTTCCGTTATATCGTGGTTGTCGGCCTCAGCACTGTTGGTATTTTGGGCTGCACGGTTCTTTGTTGTGGGGAGATCCTGCTGTACATTGCAGGATGTTCAGCAGCATCCCTCCTCTCTGAGCACTAGATGCTAGCAGCAGCATCCTCACTGGTCTGCAGACATTGCCAAATATCCCCTGGGGTGGGCCTGGGAGGAAATGACTCCCCGTCACTGCTGTACATCAAATGCCTAGTTCCAGCGGTCGTCCCTCCATCATTTCTCTTGGATCCGTGCCTTTCAGCCCATTTCCGCCACCCCAATACAGACCTTCATCACTCTAGTTATTGCATTTTTTTCTAAGCATATTTTGTGTCTCTACTCTTTCACTGTAGGAGGATTAATCATCAGAAAGCTATCACATATCACTCTGCTTATATGTGTAATAAGTTACCATTCTCTACCCCACAATTCCAAACTTCTTATATAGGTGCTTGAGTCCTTCGGGCCACTGGCCCCAAGCTATGTCTCCAACCTCATTTCTCTACTTATATGTATTCTCTTCTCCGAGATTGGACCTGACAATTGGGGGTGCCAAAAATGCTCCCAACCGCTCATTTTTTTCATCTACTTGCTCTTTGTTTGCATCATTGGCTCTACCTGCAAGGCGGTCTTTGGGATTCCCAGCTGCACTGTGAAACTTGAAGGTCCCACAAATGCTTCAGTCTCAACCAAGGCCTTCTTCCTCTGCCTGTCTCCCTTTCTTTGCTCCATATCCTCTAATGGTGACAATTATTGGTGTCTTATTTCCTAGTCCCTTGTGTACAAATGAGAGGTATGTCTTTCTTCTTTGTACTCCTATCTCCAAACCTCTTGTCTTAGGCAAAATAAGCAGCGTTTGAATGTCTGAATTATCCTAAAGCAGGACTATCACAAGCTATGAAACTTTGTTGCCTCTGCTTCTCTAAAAAATGTTAACACTAAAAGACACTCAGATCCCATATGGTCTGTACCGAGATTGTGTAACATTGGAGATATGCAACATTTGTATCTTTTTTTTCCCTCTAGCCTGCCTATCAGAATTTGAGACAACGAGTTGACAACTTTGTTGCAAACCACTTAGCAACTCATACCTGGAGCCCCCACCTCAATAAGAACCAACTAAGAAACAACATCAGACAGCAAGTGCTCAAGTAAGTCTCCCGGTTACAGAGTTCCCAGGCGGGCTTGACAATGTCACAACTTCCTTTGCCTGAAAGCAGAGACGTTACTCAGAAATTCGTGTCGCCTCCTGCTAATTTTGTCGAGTTTGGGGTAGCTACTTCATATTGTGATGCAGTGTGATTTTTAGAGTGGGCTCTAATCACTTCACATTTCCCCCATAAATTTTAACAATCTGATTTCTCTGGAGACCTTTGGAAATGTTAAGAGAAGGGAATGACAATGTGACTTTTAAAAAAAAAAAAAAATGCCTAGATGTAATATTAATAGATCATAAATGCCAGATTATCCTGTACAGTTTACATTCACAACTATTTTCTTGGCCCTAAAAAAGTAAGTTTTATTTTATGAAGACATTACAGGTCACTGAAATTAAAATATTTTCTCCTGATTTCGAGGCCATGTCTTCTGTCTTCTAAAACAGCTCATCCCCTTTTTTTCTTTTGCATTTTATTGTGATTTTAACTCTGCTTTTTACTGGCGATAGAGCCAAAAAAAAGAGGACACGTGCATTTGGACCTGTCAGAGCCCTTTTTAGACGAACGTAAGATAAAGAGAATGAGAAGAGCTGGAATGTTTAGAGGGACCCCAAAAAAAATCATATTCCCCCCAAAAAAGCAGATTTACAACATTATCTTGTTCTTGAATATAAATATTTGCTAAGACAAAAAGACTTGGACCTTCTGTCCCTTCTTCAGCCTCCAGAAAAGGTGACTAAGTTATTTAAAGCGCCTAGTCTTCCTGCCGTGACAAATATTTATGTTCAGGCACATCTTTTAGAATGAAATGTGGCTTTTAAACAATTAAACAAGTCTGTCTTATACCGGACATCTCAATTTCTTCTCGTCCCGTGGGAACCCTGCAAGTGCTACCCCATGGACAGTGCTGACCCACAGCGAGCCCCGCAAATAAAACTTCACCCCCTGACTCAAAGACCCATTTAGCCACAGGCAATACTGGAAACCATGAACCTGGGGGCTCAGACTGTGTCTCTTTGTGAAGAAGTGAAGAGGGAAATTTTAACAGTAACTTTGTTGTCTGCGTTTTAAAAGATATTCCAGGAACCTGTCAGGAGTCCAGGTGAGATGGAAAGATGCTGTCAGAGGGGTCGTTCCTGAGCAAGCAGAGGCAGAGGGCTCTGTCAGTTTACCAGGCCTGGAAGGTTACTCACTTCCAGGCCTTTGGGAGAACAATAACCAAAATAGTAGGGAGCTGGGGGACAGGGCTGGGGCGAAGGCAGGGATGGGGGGGAGCAAGGTCACCCACACTGTCACCCGCACGTTACCAGAACGTTGCTGAGTACAGAGCTTTCGCTCAACAATTTGCGTAGCTGCCTTCGTTTTCACAAATGATTCCATTGCGTTAAAAGTGTGTTCGCGTTCTTTTCTTTGCTTGTAGAGACTAAATGGAAAGCACGTTTCCCAGAATTGCATTTGCTCCTTAGCACACAAACCTGTAAAGTAGGGAAGCAGTCATCTGTTCTGGTCTTTTAAGGGAACTAAACTCAGTCTTGCCGTTGTAAAATCAGACACTTACAATTCTTGTTGTACCAGTACAAGACACTTTACAGAATCGGTGTTTGGCAAGGAGTTCTGTGCACATCAGTGCAAGGTTCTTGTGGCCCTCAGCGATCACCACTAGACTTCCTGTGGGGGACGAGGGCCCTCCCCTAGACACGTCATAGAATGGGGAAGCACCGTCTCTTAGTGCTTTTCCTGAGTCATATGTAAATTTTCTTCTAGTGATGATATTTATTTTTAAATGAACTGTTCTCTTAAATTCCATCAGTAAAGTTTTACGTTATTGATAATAACATCTTAAAGCTTCCCTAAAGAGCCTATTTAGTTATGTGTAACTAATGGTATATGGTCGCACTGGCCCCTATAAATACAATTTCGAACAGTTTCTCATACATATATTTTGAGAACCACTCAGCTGAGTCTGTTTTGTTGAGACATTTTTATAGGACAAGAAGTCTTAATATCAGCAATTTTGGATGGCTCGACTTAATAGCTAATCTGCAGACTCAACAGGGGCAAAAATCTTATTCTATTTATGTATTCATTTGTACAACAGAATCTAAAAAAGCTAGATAGCTCAGAAATAATGACCTTAACTGAACAGGATTTAAAAGGAAGATAAGGAAATAGCTTGAACCAGGGCAGTGCAGCTGCTGGCATTTTGGCTTTGCCCTTGAACCTAGAGTGTGGCTTCTCCTCCATTGAGGCAGCTGTGGCCACGGCTCATGAGCCCAGAAAGAACATGTGGTCATTAGCACTGGCCTCCAGTTTTATTCAGGGTCGGGGCTGACCAACCACTGTGACAATGGACTGAAATAGACCAGGGGCCAGAATATAGGCAAGCAGAGAGACCGAAGCAGTAATTTGGGCGGGTGGGTTTTATTTATTTTATCTTTGTACTTGTGCGTTAAATCAAAACACTTTTAAGATGGATTGTCCTTGTTTCTTTTCCACCTGCTACATTTTAAAGACACTTCTAAGATGTAACAGTGTTTGCAGGATTGCTTTTTATATATATATATATTAGAGCTTTAAAAAGCAGGTTACCTACTTTGTGCGGTGTTGGCTCATTTTTCTCTATGGCCCACATAAGTAGAATTATAGTATCACCGGCCATAGGTGCCTCAGGAAATGAAAATCAACTTCATCTTCCACTCCTGACAGAGCCGCACTCAAAATAGCTTTTAACGCGTACGGAGGGGTTCCTCAGGCACTCTGCAGAGAGCCCGAGGCTGAGAATCTGGAAGGGACCGGCACCCCGCTCTGTGGCACTGTCCAGGGACCTTGTCCTCAAGTTCTCTTTTAGGAAGAAACAAGGCTTAAGTGCATTTCTTAAAATACATGTCCTCTTATTTTGCTCAGACACCTTTGTGACTTTCCGTGCATATGGGACTTAGGTGCCCTGTTTGCTCCTTGGTCTCTTGTCTGTGACATTTCTTTAAGGTCTTTCTTCTCCTGTATGGAACTCAAGACTCGGCTCAAGTGTCTTCTCCTTTGCGAAGCATTCCCAGATTATCCCAGACACATCTAATAATTCTTATTCCACTCCTTCCCTACAGTAGTGTGTGGTATGTCTTAGTGCCTGTCATCTTGTATTTTAATTGTTTGTATCTGTCTCCCTTATCAGAACAGGACCAGGTTTGATTTGTAGCGAGTCCATGGCCTGCATGGTGCTTGTTACTGTAGAGAACACTCATAATTGTGAAATGAATAAATCATCCAGTTTTTTTATAGCAAGGAGACAATCAAAAGGAAGCCAGAAGTCTTAAGTTTTATTTTGGTTCTAAAGTTTTCTTTATTGTTCTGTATTTTTTTTTTTTTAAGTTTGATGAAATTACACTTTGTGTATATTCAGTTTTTCTGGAGTCTCTGATATTTATAAAAGGCTTACATTTTTCTGTTTAAAAATAAAGGTGCAGAATCCATTGATTTATTTTATACCCAAAACTCAACTTCAGTGATCATTTATTCCAATGTGCCATGGGCAGGATCAGGGTAAGATAAGCATCACCTATCGGCCTGGGCTCTGGATCATGTACTGTGTCTAGTTGTGAGGGTGTTTTGTTTTTCGTTTTGGCCACTTCAGTGTTTCCAGTGGCGGACAGATGACAGCGTTTTTGCAGCGCGGCGTATCTACGTGCCACTGTGGTGCGAAACTCATTTCCCATTCCCTCTTCTTTCTACATCCGAGGAAATGGATTGGGGTCGAACATATATGTAATAGATACAGTTTCACTTAAAAGTAAGTAATGCAGATAATATGAAATTATTATTATTATTTTAACTTTCTGTAAATCACCCTGTGTTTCAGATCAGGAATGTTGGAGTCCGGTATTGACCGAATTATTTCTCAGGTTGTGGATCCAAAGATCAACCACACATTCAGACCTCAGGTGGAGAAAGCTGTGCATGAGTTTTTGGCCACACTAAACCACAAGGAGGAAGCGAGCGGCAGCATGGCCCCCGACGAGGAGAAACCAGACTCTTCCGCCGTTACACAAGGTGCTTCGCTTTGGCTCTTGGTCAGCTGCGTTGCTTTTCTTCCTGAACTGAGTATCACATTAGGACCGTTTGGTTTGAAAACACTTTTCTCCTTGGCCACTGTAGCGAAACTGTATGTTATTATAAATATCACTCGAATTCCTCAGCTGGCATAACTTTTTTTTTTACATTAGTACAAAATAATAGGCATTTTAGTAAGGTATTGGGGGTATATGTATGTTTCAGCAGAGGGAATAAGTAAAATAATTAGAGACGGTATTCTTTTTCTGGAAACTAGACTGTTCTCGGGTTTGCACGGTGCCTTTCTAAGATCCGGCAGTAGAGAAGTGGAGGACTTAGTGCGTGCTGAGAACTGGCCCTGGTACCTGAAAGTCTCCAGGTGTGTGAGTGCTCTGCACAGCACGGGCAGCGTATAGAGACGACAGTGGGACGTGGCACTGATTCAGCCGGGGGTTGACCTCCTGCATAAATGTATTCTAACACTTGTCTTTCCCTCGAAGGTGTCCCCGCTCCTGGGCCCAGTGCTAATGTAGCCAACGATGCCATGTCGATCTTAGAAACCATCACTTCTCTTAACCAAGAAGCTAGTGCCGCCAGGGCTTCAACAGAAACGTCGAACGCTAAGACCAGTGAGAGATTATCCAAAAAACTCCCATCTCAGCCAAGCACTGACACTAGTACTGAGAAAGAGAGAACTTCAGAGGACGTGGCCGACAAAGAAAAATCTCCACCCGACTCTGCAGGGGAAGGACAGGAAGCAGCCCCCAAGTCTGAAGAATTTAGTGATCTCCCTTGTCCGGTCGAAGAAATTAAAAACCACACAAAAGAGAGTAATAGTTCACTGCTGCTAAATAAGGATGTTCAACAGGAAGGCAATGACCAAAAAAATAAATCAACAGACAAAGGTGAAAAGAAACCAGACAGCAACGAGAAAGGAGAAAGAAAGAAAGAAAAGAAAGAAAAGCCTGAAAAGAAATTCGATCACTCAAAAAGGAGTGAGGATATACAAAAAGTAAAAGACGAAAAACAAGCAAAGGATAAAGAAGTAGAGTGTTCAAAACTTCCTTCAGAAAGAAACAGCAATAAAGCTAAAGAAGGGACAAAAGAAGGTAAAAAGTTGCAAAAATATACAACAGTTTAGAGAACAGAATGTCCATTGGGGGGAGTATCAGATTTGCCTTTAAAATGTTAATCAGTTTTATTCTTGTATTTCAAAAGCCTGAGAACATACCTCCTTTTTGCTATGAAAAAGAGCCACAAACATTTGTGTTTCTTTTGTGTGCTAGTGTACCAGTTCACAAAGTAAATGAACAGAGAAGCTCTAAACCTTATGATTTTAACTCATAGCTTATTGTCCTGCATTACGCCAAGCAACTTAATTCATAGTTGTATATCCTAATCTTGAAAATATTAGATAGTAAATATTGCAGTTACTTACATAAAATTCGCTTTTGTGTCATTTACATCAGAAATTAATTGTTTCGTTATTTTTACAGGATAACGGTTTGCCTTTGTATTTCCTGGAAGCAGCTCTGCTTTATTTGATAGTGGTTGCTAATGAAAGATTTTTAATTCTAAAGTGGAAGTTTTCGACATATATTTAAAGCAGAAAATCTTAAATATATTTTAGGAATTGGGTTCTGCCTGTGTTCTTATACGAGATGGTTTACCTTCTGTGTTTTATTGTTTTCCTGAAGATTGCTCTGTGATAGAGTCTGATGTGGATGGACTTACAGACATCACAGTTAGCTCTGTCCATACCAGTGACCTTTCATCGTTTGAAGAAGACACTGAGGAGGAGGTTGTAATGTCTGATAGCATGGAAGAAGGAGAGATTACGTCAGATGGTAAAGCATTTTACTTAATAGTGCCCGCGTGACGCTTCCCGCCCAGCATTGTTTGTATGTTCAGCTGGCTGGACCGTGAAAGAAAGTGTGGTGTAGTGGCAAGGGTGCAGGGCTTTGTAGTTGGAAGATGTGTTTCCGAGTCCCAGCTCCGAGGTTCCCTGTCTGAGCAAGCTTGGTAAGCGACTGAACTGCAGCGAGCCTCGGTTCCCCATCTTTGACTTCATCCCCTAGGACTGTTGTTAGACTTAGATGAGATAATGTACGTGACATGCTCTGTGTGTGTGAGACGTGTGAGGGAGCGCAGTCCACAACACTCCCCTCCTGACACAAGTTTTGTCCCCAGGACCTCTTGTAGTTTTGATAGTTTGCTAGAAGGACTCCCAGAACTCACTGGGATCTGTTAAACCCACTGTCACAGTGCATTGCGGCTGGGGGACACCGATTAAATCAGCTGAGGGAGGACGTGCATAGGCCAGAGTCAAGGTTTCAAACACAGAGCCTCCAGGCGTCCCTTCCCTGGACAGCATTACTTTCCTGGCACCGACGTCTGACAGTACTCAAGATTGTCACCAGCCGGGAACGCTCACTCAAGCCTTGATGTTCAGCATTTTTAGTGGGGCTCCATCATGGCATAGTTGACCACCCATGGGTCTGGTCTTAGTCTCCAGGCCCCCAGAGGTCAAGCTGATACTCCATGACCCAAAGCCCCCACCCTAAATCACACTGGCAGATGATTTGGCTTGATGCAAGACCCCTGGTGTCTCAGAAAAACTCAGGCCCGGCATTCCAAAGGCTTAGAGATGACCTCCTGGAAGCCAGGGGTGAAGACCAGACCTCTGTCTACCAACCCTTTATCAGCACTTACTGTGTTCCAGGCACTGTGCTAATTTATTCTGTGTAATAACTACAATCCTCAAAACAACCCTGGGAGGCAGGCAGGTCCAGGTGAAGAAATCAAGTCACTGAAGGAAGATCACATAGCCAGGTCTTGTCCAGGTGGCAGGGCCAGTGGGCACCAGTGCAGGTTTCAGACCCAGGTCTGGGCTTCTGACCAACACCTTATGCTACTAAAAAAATCCCACGTGAAAATTGTTTATGACCGTTTTTCAAAAAATCAAAAATACCAAATATTATTCTCAATTGCCTGTAGATAGCATCTTGTAAATTTGATGCTGGCTTATGCTTAGAAAACCTAGACAGAAAAATAGACGAGGAAAAGTAGAAGCATTTAATACCACAAATGTGCTTCTCAGAGTCTCCCATTTGTCATTCGTTTTTTTAATATCCATTAAAAAACTGAATACCAACCCAAGAAAGCAGAACACGCCCCACTTTCCCTGTCTGTCCTCGCCAGGCCAGCTCCGTAGTATGTCATGGGAAGAATTCCACTCAGCTGTGAACTCTCCTTTCTCCAGCCAAACTAGCCAAAATCCTAATTCTAGACACTTTGGGGTCTTTCAAGTTTTTCCCTGGTCAGGGCTAGATTTTATATGTATGGGATAAAAAAAATAAGATGGCTGTTTTGAGAGTACCGGGTGGTAGGAAGTGAACACCTTGTTCACGACATCTTCTTGCTGTGTCGGGGGAGCACTCGCCTCTTGCAGGTGGAGGGGTTTAGTGTGTACTTGGTGGAGGGCCAGCTACTGATTCTCACCTCGCCCTGCCCGTTAAGAGAGACTCACGGGCGTTCATAAAAATCTCCAGTTTAAAGTACGGCTTCAAGTGAATTTGTTCAGTTTAAAGCATTCACGTCAACTCCACTGACACACGAATATTTTCCTATTTGTCAAGAAAACAAATAACTATAAGGTTTCATTTTTCTTTGCTCTCTTATGTGTGAGAAGTTGATTGTTAAATAAATTAAGATGTGGAGTATAGCCTTTAAAAATGTCAATTTCTGGGGAAAAAAGGTCAATTTCTGAATTTTCACGTATGGATATTTCCCTGTGGGACCTAGAAATGAACTTGAACTACATCGATACTGCTTTTGCTGCTCAATGTTGATGAAACTTGATGCTGATATTTAATACGGATTCACAGAGCACTCCTCTTTCCATTGACTTTCTTCCAGATGAAGAGAAGAACAAGCAGAATAAAACAAAAGCTCAGACCAGTGATCCTAGCGAAGGAAAAGCAAAAACTGTACGGCATGCTTACGTTCACAAACCGTATCTCTACTCAAAGTATTACAGCGATTCTGACGACGAGCTCACCGTAGAACAGCGGCGACAGTCCATCGTAAGCCTCGTCGATTGTTGCCTTTCGCGTTTAATCCGTGGCAGACTTGACTAGTCCGAGTACGAGGTACTCGTGAGCATATGGAATCGTGACTTAGGCCCTATTTTCAAGAACCTCGTCATGTAACTAGGCAGTATAGACACAAACGTGTGTCAGAGGTGTTCATGTCATCATGATTAATAGTAGTGAAAAACTGTTAAGAACTTATGTGTTTCATGGTATGGAAATGTTTGAATCAAGTATGAATCGAGGCATACAAGCATATGGCGTGCAGCCGTGAACGTAGTATTAGAAGGAAGTACAGTTCACATATTTACTGGATGTGAAAATACTTCTCATAAGATCTGTCATTAACAACAGATTTTTAGAGGAAAAATTATTACCTCATCGTACGTGTACATCAGCTTTAAGATGACTTAGAATTTCAGAAACATTAAAATGTGAAGATATGGTCATCTTTGAATGAGAAAATATTATTTCTTAGAAAAATGATTTCAAGGAAGTACAGTACACTCAATGCTAATAGTGGCTTAACTCATGACAAGCTTACTTGGTCAGGAGTTATGCCTATGGCACTTTGAGACTTTCAGGAATGGTGGGAGTGACACACAATAACCGGATTCTCCCTGGCTTTAAAATTCAACAGCAGAAAGCCCTACGTCTAAAACCTAGGGCCTGAGAGTGTGACCAGCATGTCACGTTTGTTGTGGGACTGGCCTGTCACTTGCATCTGCATTTCAGCGTGCTCTTTTAAGAGTAATTGAAAAATTATGAAGACCTACTTATGTTCACTTGATGGTCATGGGTATTTTCACAGTTGTCCTTCTCATCGAAGCAACCAGTTTATTAAACCACCATTTCTCAAAATGATACTTTTCCCATTCTTTAATGACATTCTAAAAGAGAAATGGAAAATTTTTTCTCTCTCTTTTGTTTTTCTGGTACCTTCCAAATTCCACGTATTCTGGTAGTGTATGTGCGCTTGTGCAGAGCCCATTAATTTGTGAGAACATTTGAAAGGCAAACATTTTTTTCAAGAGTCTTTTGCTTTTGCCTGATAACCAGAATAATTGTGAATATTTTATGGTTTTAGGCTAAAGAAAAAGAAGAGAGGCTTTTAAGAAGGCAAATTAATAGAGAGAAACTTGAAGAAAAACGAAAACAGAAAGCGGAAAAGACAAAGTCTTCGAAAGCTAAGAGCCAAGGTATTAGAGATGTTAGCTTTATTATTTTAAACTGTCTCATACACTCCATTATTTTCTGGATATTTATATTACTTATGAGATAGGATTATAAAGTATAATGATCTAAATTATATTTCAGTAAAGCTTTTATTTTTTTTTAATTATGTATTTTTAGGTGTGAAAGATCTCCTTTTTAATCTAGTATGCTTGGTCACTTTTTATTATTTCTGAATCTATATTAAATATTCTATCAAGTACCAGCTTACACAGCTCACATAGTAGCAATTCATTTTCCAATGGCCGCGGAATGAATTATCAGTGGAAAATGGATTGTTAACTAGTGAGTAATCAAGCCTTGCTGGCAATAGTAATGGGATTAATCTGTACTTTATATTAATTACAGTGCCAAACATTTGTGTGCAATATTTAATTGAACAAACTTGAACTTCGCCTGGATACTGATCCTGTGTAATATACAAATACATATACATATGTAAGCATTTGAAATTAAAAAACGATAAGACTTCTCCATCTAAAGTATTATTTTTATTCCAGCACAACTTAAGGATATGAAAGCCATTTTGCATTTTTACAGTGATTAGAAAAACTTAATGAAAAATAAGTAAATATTACACCATTTAGAAAACTCTGTTCTGAAATACAGTTTATCGATTGCTTCTTTACTAGGCAAAAATAGTGTGGACTTAGAAGACTCATCAGCAAAGAGTTTGGAACCTAAAGCCCCCAGAATTAAAGAAGTCCTTAAAGAACGGAAAGTTTTAGAGAAAAAAGTAGCCTTAAGCAAAAAAAGAAAAAAAGATTCAAGGTACATGTTTTACCTGGCTGCGTTCCCGTTGTAACATTCTCGCGGCGTGCTTTCAGAAGTGAGCCTCTGAAAACGGCAGTGAAAGCCAGGCCTTGCATGTGGATGTTGTTGCATGTTTATTAAAGACCGTAGGTTTCGTTTTTAGTATCATAATTCATTGTATTAGTGTCTCTAATATTTCAAAGTGTTCATCTTTTTCCGGGGGAGTCCCAGCCCTTTCTGATAATTTCGAAGGAAGTTTTGGACTCTCTCCCCAGGAAAAAAATGCACATGCATCAACACATAGCTGTCCCTAGAGCTTCAGAGGGCGTACGGACCCTCCAGACGTACCCAGGACGTGTCCCCGTTCCGGACATTCGGTACCCCATGTTTAGTGATCGCCTCCATTTTCCAGTCTTTGCAGGCGATTCTCTTCATTGTATACTGTGCTTCTCCCCATGAGCCAGAGGTCTGAGCCGAAGTCTTTCCTAACACTACGTTATCCTAGTTAATTCTAGAAGAATGGGAAAGCTGAAGAGACAGAGTGGCTATGAAGGCGAGTGAGCTGTGGGCTGCCGTTTCCTGTCCCATCAAGATGCGATTATGTAAATTTATCACAGACTTTAAGATAGCTAAATCACTAATTTGCAGAGCTCAGCAAAAGGAATCAGCTCTCAGTTTCCTTATGGTACCTTCTTCCTATTGATCTGAATATAAGACTGCCCTGTTTGCTCAAAAGATGGTAAGACTTTCAGAATATAATTATAACTCATAAAATATTCAGTTTAGAGCAACAATTCAGGAATTGCTGTTTCCAGAATACTTTAGCACCATGTCATAGAGTACTCCGTGTCACACTGGGGATCGTATTCCAGTCATGACTAGAACAGGATTTCAACTGAAGCATAGCAAGCCTCTAGTTGTGGATCAAGTGTTTATAGAAAAGGAAAGCTAAGCTGCTTCTTTTTAACCTTCCTGAAAATTTCTTCATTTGACTCAAAGTTCATAGTTGACTTTTTCCCCCACATAGGAATGTTGAAGAGAATTCTAAAAAGAAACAGCAAGCTGAAGAAGATTCCAAAGAAACCCTTAAAACAAGTGAGGTGTGTCTTAATTAATGCATGCCCATTTTAAACGCTCTTTTGTCAGATACAGGCTATTCAGTCCTTTGGGGTAAAACTTAGAATGCAATTTGTTCTTTTCCAAGTGAAAAATCCTCACGTTCAGCATTCTCAAACCCCCATCCTATTATGGTATGAATTCCTCATTTTGGCAAGGTTGATCCATGTGATTATTTATCTAGACAGAAACTGCTTTTCTACTCCCCTTCCTAAACTCCGCGCCCCCCATTCCCACGCACACCCACACTTCTTATATTGGCAATAACAAAATTGCCGGTAATAATAGTGAAAAAGAGAAGGGGAGACAACAAAAATCCCTGCACCGTAACAAATCATCTGTTTCGTTCCCTTTCATTCCTTGTCCACAGAGGTACGAAAATTTGTAGAGTGAATGTAATGTTGCAGAGCATTACTAACATTCACTCTTACGCATGTGGCGTTAGCTGCGAGCATCCTAATTATTCTATTTAACAATTGCCTAGTGTTATATAGTGAATGGCGATACCATAATGTAAGCATTTCTTTGTAGTTGAGCACATTAGATTGTTTCCAAGGTCCGATCCTTTTAAATAGTAAAAATATATGTAATGGAGACATTTCTTCACCTTTTTGGATTTTTTTCTTGGGATAAACTTTGCTTTCATTGGTTTTAAATCCTATTTATAATGTCAGTTTTATAATTCTATAGCCAAACTATCTTAACACTTTTAAGGGAGAAAACTAATAATTTAGTGACTGTTTATTCATAGCTGGTAAACAATCTTGATTTCTTTACTCAGAAATTTGAGCCATATTTAAGTATGTCCTGATATTTCGATGCCATATTTTTAAATATTTAACTTTATTTGGTGATGAATTCCTTTGACAAATGATCTCAAATTTTTGTTCGCATTGATTGGTTAGAACTTACTGTAAAATTAGGTTGGTGAAATTCCTTTTAGTTCTTTCTTTGAGGAATTGAATTTTAAAGTACTTTTTTAAGATCTTGCTATGTCCTTGTCCCTATATCAGTGCAAGTGCATTAATCTTTGTGTCAATTGTAAGGAGGTGCAGTAGTCAGCAACCCAGAGACAGAGGTCTTTCTGAGGATGAGTAGTCAGCGAGTCTCTATCAAAGTACATTTAGTCACCATTCACTCATTAATACCAATCTCTGTGCCATTCTGCGGGTGGAAGGGGCAGGCTTCAATGCCGTGAGTTCTCCGTATCTTCCCTGGGCTGCATAAACGTACACATCCATTTTATAGGACATGATTACTGTTATTGTGAGTTATTGTGTGCACGTGAACCATTCTAAGTAGACTATCCACCAAGTAGCCTAAATTCATGAGGTCTCCATAAATCTGGTTTCTAAATAAAAGTATAAGAAACCTTTGTTTCGGTATAAAATTTTTAAATGTCTTCAACATTAGGTGTCTTGTTCTTGGACAGAAAAGAACATTGGATTGTCACTCTTTCATTTTCTCTTTATTAATGACTACCGGGCATTTATTTTTTTATTAACGACTACTGAGCATTTGTTTATTAATGACTGGGCATTTGCAGGCTTTAGCGATTGAGAGTTACAGAAGGCCTAAATGCATGGACAAATCTCCAGAGAAATAACTAGTCTCTGTAATAATAACTGCGATATAATAGGGAAAGTACTAGACTTAGAATGAGATCAGCTGAACTCTTCAAGTTATTGAATCATGCCCAGCTCCACATTCTTGGTGCATAAAATGAAGTTTATGATCCCTACCACAGGCTGCTTAAAAAGATTAAGGTGTAAAATATGTGACAGCACTCAACACATTAAATGCACCCAGATGTTAAATTCGAATATAAAAACTGACTTATATTTTAACCTTTATTTTCTCACAGCATTGTGAAAAGGAAAAGGTGTCTTCTTCCAAAGATCTGAAACATGTTCATGCAAAAAGTGAACCCAGCAAACCCACCCGGAGACTCTCAGAGTCTTTGCATTCAGCTGATGAAAACAAAAATGAATCTAAACTAGAAAGAGAACATAAAAGACGGACATCGACCCCCGTCGTGGTGGAAGGGGCACAGGAAGAGACTGACACGCGAGATGGGAAAAGGCAAGTGGAACGCTCAGACATGGGCTCAGAAGAACCCCAGAAACAGAAAAGCTCAGTTAAAAATGAAAAGCATCTAAAGAAAGATGATTCTGAAACACCACATGTGAAAAACCCACCTAAGAAAGAGGCAAAATCCTCCAAGGAGAAGCCCGAAAAAGAGAAAACTCTGTTGGAAGACAAACTGTCTGCAAAACATAAACATAAAGGGGACAGTGTGCATAAAACAGGTGACGAGACTGAGCTTTACTCCGCTGAGAAAGGGTTAAAAGTCGATGAAAGTATTCAAAAGCCGAGTCAACAAACCAAGCTTTCTTCAGATGATAAAGCTGAACGAAAAAGTAAACATAGGAATGAAAGGAAATTATCAATTTTAGGCAAAGATGGAAAGCCAGTTTCTGAATATATTATAAAAACAGATGAGAACGTTCGTAAAGAAAACAACAAAAAAGAGAGACACCTGTCAACGGAAAAAACGAGGGTTGAACACAAATCAAGAAGATCAAGTGATTCTAAAATTCAGAAAGATTCTCTGAGTTCCAGGCAACATGGAATCACATTACAGAGAAGAAGCGACAGTTACTCAGAGGGTAAATGTGACACGGACTCGACTAATTTAGATAATAACTCAAAACCAGAAGACGTTCACAAGGAGAAGCGAAGAACAAAGAGCTTGATAGAAGAGAAACCGGTGTCAAAGTCTAAATCCAAAAGTCAAGGCAAACAGTTAAGAGTTGTTGAAACAGAATTGCAAGAAGGTGTCACAAAGCAGACAGCCACTCCAAAGCCAGAGAAGGAGAAGATCACCGAAGAAAATGACCCAGATAGGCCGCGGAAGTCTAAAGTCGAGGACAAGTCTTCTGAGGAAACTGGCTTCGAACCTGTGTTAGAGAGTGCCGCTTCTTCAGCACACAGTGCACAGAAGGACGCCAGTCACCGAGCCAAGCTGCCGTTAGCAAAGGAGAAACATAAGGGCGATAAAGATTCGAGCTCCTCCCGACTTGAGAGGAAGTTATCAGACGGACACAAAAGCAGAAGCTTAAAGCATAGCAAGGATGTGAAAAAGAAGGAAGAAAATAAATCAGATGACAAGGATGGTAAAGAAGTTGACAGTAATCATGAAAAGGCCAGAGGGACTAGCTCAGTCACGGAAAAGAAATTAAGTAGAAGGTTGTGTGAAAATCGAAGAGGAAGCTCGTCCCAAGAAACGACCAAAGGAGAAGAAAAACCAGCAGCAAACGCTTTGGGCACTCCGAGTACTTCCTCCCTTCAGAAACCAAGAAAGAGTGGCGATACCACATCGATCCCTGAACCAGAGCCCATGGAAGTTGATTCTGAGCCCGCGGTTGAAAATGTGCCTGAAGGATGTAAAACCCAGGAGAGCAGCGGTGATAGTCCCCGGCCAGACACCGACTCTGAAAACGCAACAAAAAACCCCGCAGCCACAGCTCTAAGAGACGAATCAAGAACTTCCCTAATAGACACAAAACCAGCAGCTCCCGCCTGTAAATCGGGACGTGGAACAGGAGTCGTTGGTAATTCTGAAAAGCACGCTGACCATAAAAGCGCCCTGACCAAGAAGGCGCACGTCCAGAGCGCTGCGTCCAAACCAGACGCCGGGGAGAAAGAGCCCACTCAAGGAACCCGTGAAGCGAGTGTAGACTCTGCAGCGGGTCAGAGGATGGAGCCTCGCGCCCCGTCAGAGAATGATAGGGCACCAAGGAACTCGAAACACACAAGAGCCACTGAGGAGTGTGTTGCTCAGAGAGACGCTGTTCTTGAACATTCCACAGGTTTAGACCCCTCACCGTCCCCAAGTGCAGTGACTGCTGCGCCTCAGACACAGTCTCAGGGTTCAGGTGGCGTTCCTGTAGGTGGCGTTCCAAGAACTGTTCTCGAAGGCGGCGCTGCCAGCACCTGCCCTGCAGACCACACTGATAGCCCTAACCACAGTCTGACCGTTACGGAATCAGAAGTCCCTAGGACAAGTGACAGCAAAGAAGGCGGTGCCATTTCCACTGCAGACGCACCAGCAAAAGCTAGCCTAGATAGCAAAAGACACATTCCAGAAGGTTCCCAGGCTGCCATCCTGCACAGTAAACTAGGAAAAGTAAATGTGCCTCTTGGTGCCGAGTTAACAGACACGGTTACGGAAAATGAACGTGTTAACAGAGAAGGCGGCTCGAAGGACGTGGCCAGGAAAGACAGTGGCGTAAGTACGGAGCCCACTTCAAAGCAGGCAACTGGCACTGCGGCGGAAAGTGGCAGAAAGGATGGCATCGCCGTTGACCGCATCGTAGGCCTGAGTACCAAAAAGGACGCTGAAACTGTTGAAGCTAAGCTCAGCCGAGGCCCCGGTGAAGCAGAAAACCCGTCCTTTGCTGTCGAAAGGAGGGATGAGAACAGTGAGGTGGACACCAGCGCCGGAAGTACCGCGGCCTCCTCCGTGCTTCCCCCACGGGACAGACGAACCGAGACCGTGACCGCTGGGTCTGGCAGAGCAGAAAAGACTTGTATCACCACTAGCACTGGAGGGGAGGACACAGGCACTAGCTCGAACCCGGGGAAAGCTGAGAACGCCACCACCACCTCCTCCGAAGCAGGAGACGGGGAGGCAGCCGTGCCCTGCACGAGCATCGAGGCAGACGAGGGCCTCGTGACAGGCGCGCGCTCCAGACACACCCGTCCCCGTGTCGGGGCCGAGGCCAGCGAGTGCACGGTCTTCGCCGCGGCCGAGGAAGGCGGGGCCGTGGTCACGGAGGGACTCGCAGAAAGCGAGCCTTTCCTCACGAGCACCAAGGAGGGGGAGAGCGGAGAGTGTGCCGTGGCCGAGTCCGAGGGACGGGCCGCACAGCCGGCGACCGCTCAGGCCGGCATCGTGGAGGACAGCGCCAGCAGTGTCGTGACAGACGAGAAGGACGATGCTGTGACCAGTGCGGGCTCCGAAGAGAAATGCGACGGTTCTTCCAGCGGAGACGCAGGACTAGTCGGAGGGACCGTCACTTTCGTTAGTGAAGGCGAAAGCGACGGAGCCGTGACGAGCGCAGGGACAGAAATACAAGAGGCCTCGTTAAGCAGCGAAGAGCTGGACGGGTTCCAGAGAGACGTGACGAGGCCAGGCCCCAAGAAAGAAACCGAGGGGACCGTGACGTGTACAGGAGCCGAGAGGAGAAGCGACAGCTTGGCCACGTGCGCCGTGACTGGCGCGGGGCCGCAGGCAGAGCGCGTGGTCACGGGGGCGGCCGTGGTGCTGGGAGACAAGGACGCGCCGCCAGGCACGAGTGCCACCCAGGAAGGAGCCGGCTCTGCGAATGACGGCGCCGAGGGCGAGAGCGCCGTCACCAGCACGGGGATAACGGAGGAGGACGGCGAGCGCCCGGCCAGCTGCTCCGGCTCCGAAGACAGCGGCAACGGCTGCGCCGGCGGTTCTGAGTCCGAGGAAAACGGGGAGAGCGCGATGGACAGCACAGTCGCCAAAGAAGTCACAAACGCACCATCGGTCGCGGCCGGTCCCTGTGACGACGAGGGCGTTGTCACCAGCACGGGTGCCAAAGAGGAGGACGACGAAGGCGAGGGTGTCGTGACCAGCACTGGGAGAGGAAATGAAGTCGGGCACGCCTCGACCTGCACGGGGACGGAGGAGGAGAGCGAAGGGGCCTCCATCTGCGAAAGCGCAGAGGAAGGGGACGGGCGGATCGGGACTGCAGCAGGGCACGCGGCCGCAGAGGCCGGGGCGGCCGCCGCCAGTGCCCACGAAAGCGGCGTCGACAGCCGGAGCGGCACCGAGAAGGGAGAGAGAGACGCAGAGGCAGAGATCTGCTCCAGCGCGAAAGGGGCGGCCGAGAGCAGCGTGACCAGCGCGGCTCCGGGGGAGGGGGACGTGGCGTCGGCGCCTGCAGCTTGCGAGCGCCCCGGGGGAGGCGCAGCTGCGGGTCACAGTGACAGTCAGCTCGCCAGGAAAGACAAAGTGGAAGACAGCACCACGTCCACGGGTCTGGTGGGGGGCAGTCACAAGGGACTTGTGTCCGCCGCAGCCCCAGAGTGCGAAGTTCATCACACATCGCCGAGCGAAAAAGAAGATGAAAGCATCATCACCTCCGTGGAAAATGAAGAGTGTGACGGCCTCGCGGCCACTACAGCCAGTGGCAGTGTCACCGACCAGACCTGCTCGGCTGCGGGCGGAAGTCGAGGCACAGGCCTGCTGATTTCCACCAGCACGACGAGTGACTACGCCAGGCAGCTGAGCACGGTTGGGGACACAGAGGGGGCTCGCACGGGCGCCCTGCTGACGGAGGAGACCGCGGGCAGCGCCAGAGCAGACGCGGAGGCCTTCGAGGCCCCCATGCCCAGTGCAGGCGCGGGGGGCGAGAGCCAGCCCCCTGCCGTGGGGAGCGAGGACAAGGATGAGTGCGCCATGATTTCCACGAGCATCGGGGAGTTCGACGTCCCCGTCTCCAGTGCGGCCACCGTCACGTGTGCTGGAAGTCAGCAGCCCGCAGCGGCCGTGGAAGGGCGAGCGAAAGGCCCAAGCTCGCTGAGCACCGACGACTTCGAGGGGCCCACACCCAGCGCGGACGCAGACCGTCCCCACGCCTCCACCAGCAAGGATGACAGAGATGAGTGCGCCCTCATTTCCACCAGCATCGCAGAGGAGTGCGAGGCCTCCATCTCCGGGGCAGCTGTGGAAAGTGCAGATGAGCGACCTGTGCCAGTCACGGAAGAGAAAGACGGGAGCGCCATCATCTCAACGAGCTCGGGAGAAGACTGCGAGGGCCCAGTGTCCAGTGCCGTCCCTCGGCAGGAAGTCCATCCCTCGGTCACGCCAGCCGAGGAGCTGAGTGACACCACCCTGATTTCCACGAGCACCTCCGAAGGCCGTGAGGCGGTCATGAGGGGCGCCGCCCCCCGGGACGACGATCAGCCCGCTGCCGCGAGAACGGAGGACTCGAGCGACGCCGCCATCATCTCCACCAGCACGGCCGAGTGCCTGCCCACCGGCACCGGCCTGGACGGGCACGAGGAGAGTCAGCGTGCTAGCAACGCAGAAGGAAGAGACGGCCTGGCAGCCGCGAAGCCGAGCAAGTGCGACGTCCCTCTGCCCGGCCCGATGGCCGAGAACAACTCCCAGCGTCCTGGGCAGTTCGCAGGAGAAGGGAGTGTCGGGGGGCCCTCTGCAGGGGGGAGCCCGCCCGAGGAGAGGAGTGTGTCGTTGAGCTCTGTCCAGAGGAAGGAGAAAAGCCACGAGGCAGGCGTGGCGAGGGACAGCACCACGGCGACTTGTCCAGCAGGGAGGGGCGTGGAGAGGACGGCTGACTCGCCTGTCAGTCTGAGGGGACCAGAGCAGACATCCGGGCACACAGCTGAGGACTCCGTCCATGTTCGTTCTTTGACAGCAGTGAACACCGGTGCTAAAGTAGCCAATGACACACCACATGGCAGAGACGCTGCAGCGGCGCAGCCCTCCCTTCCTCCTGGCCAATGGGAGCCCGAGGGCAGCTCGAAGACCACCACCTCTGAGCGTGTTAATAGTCAAGAGTCAGACATTGCGCCTCCCCACTCAGCCCCTCCGGCTGCCTGCACTGCGGCTCTGCCAGCTCCCAGGTGTGAGCAGGGCTTGACCGTACCGGCTGATCATGGTGGCAGGTGCACTGCCCAGGCGTCCACTGAGAAAACAGGAGGTGGCGTGACGAAATCATTCCCCAAGGACAGGGACCTCGAGGTCACTGTTTCTTCTGAAGAAAATTCAGGTGACATAGGTGAGAGTCTCTCTAATGGCAAATTTTAGTCGTCTACAAAGGTGATTGTATGTAGAGTACATTTAAAATAACCTTCCGAAAGATGGTTTGGGTTCCAGAATGTCACAAAATAACTCATCGAACTTGAAGATCAGGCTTCTCTAAAAGAAACTTGTGTTTAAAAGCAAAAAGCCGTAGATCCGTTTCTCATGGGCGAGGAAGGCAGAGGCAGGAGGCTGGGGGATGGCAGCCAACGAGCCAGGTGTCATCTGCAGGGCTGTTGCAAGTTACTAGAACTCTTCGATCTCAGGTTCTCATCAAAGTGAAGCCTACCTTAAACAACCCCGTGAAACGAGTATTTTTCTATCACCCTTATTTTACAAATGAGCAAATAAGTTCACAGAATTTATGTAACTTGCACGGTACTTGGGTGCCTTTTAGAAAACGATTACCCCTGCACCTCAGTTTTCTGTTGTATGAAATGGGGGTGATAGTACAACAACAGACATCATTTCAACTCTCAGCTGACTTAGAGATTTGCAGTGTGTGTCAGTTCAGTCCAGCTGGCTCCTTTAATCAAGGTAGCACTTTTTTTTTTCTTAACCGAGTTTATCGTTCGGGTAAAATAAGTTTCTGGTTAAGAAAGAGAAATGGGTGAAAGAGAAATGGAACGTGTCCTGACAGAGTCCAGAGTGCTGGTTTTGTTAGAAATGGTCAGTAACTTTCAAGGGGTGGGCTTTGAGCTCAGTCATCGATGACACCATCCGGCCTCAGACCCTTTCTATCAGCCACCACTGTGCTAGGCTCACGATGCAAAGACAAGAAGTTAGGATGGGAAGACGGCCGTGAACCAGCCATACAGTGTAAGTAGACAGAAACACTAGTGTGGCAGGTCCTTAGAATGGGGTTACGCACAGGAGGCAGTGAGAACTCAAAGGGACATGGGCTGGACTTGAGGGGGTCAGGGACATTGATTTTTTTCCCACTCGGAATTGTACGAATGGTAGCCCGCTGGACTTTTAAACCGGAATGGACCTTAAATATCATCTGACGCAGCCTTGGAAAACTGAGGCCGTTAGATTAAGTCTCATTTGTTATAGAGACTTAAACAGGAGACGTTAAAAAATGTCCCAAGGGTTAAAATAAGCAATTTAAAATTTTTCCTTTGCATTTAGCCTGGGTAAATTGACTTCTCTGCAAGTTTTTGTGACTTAATCATTGCTGTAGTCCATTACTCCTTCCTCCCCCCTTTTCCCTGAAGGAACAAAAATAGAAAAATTTTAGCAAGGAAAAGCCTGCAGCCTCTTGGAGAAAGGAAGAGTTTTCTTTGGAGGCTTATGTGTAGGCAGGTGAGAAAAGCTGGAAAGCCACAAATTGTAGATGGACAGGAAAGAGAAAGAAAGGTCCAAGGCCGGATGGACTTGTCTCCACCAGAGAAAATCTACACCGCCCCTTTGTGTGTGGGTGTGGGTGTGGGTGTGGGTGTGAGTGTGTATTTTAACACTATGTTAATTTTGCTGTGTCAACATCAAGCAAAGTGAGGCTATTCATAAATTCCTTTCTTTTTCAAGAGTATTCCTGGGTTGCCCAGAACATTTTCTTTTAGGGACAAACTTGATACAGATCACTGTAGAAAAACACTGGGAAAGATTTCTCCGCAGATAATATTGCATCGTTCTTTCTGGGCAGCCATCTTACCAGCAGGAAACAATTTCACATACCGCCCCTCACTCCAACCCCCCAAAAAAGTAAATGGCCCCTGCCTTTCCTCTGATCTTTTTTTTATACATAATCCTTTGTATTGTTTTCTACTGACTGCAAAAGGAAACAGCAAAGGGAACATGGCGTGCTAGATAAGAACATTCGTTACCTTTTGCTTGAGGATGTATTTTGTAAGCAGATTCTGAAACTGGTTTAATGGTCTGAATTTCATTAGGCAATGAAGAGTCTCCATCGGATATTTTGGGAGGATTGGAACCGAAAGCCAACTTGGAAACTGAGGTATGATGATTCAGTTATGTTGAGGTGTGTGTGGTGTAAGGACCATTCCGTATATATACACAGTTAAGCAGAATATAGCTTTTGTTTTCACTGTATTTAAGACACTTGAGTATTATTATTGTTACATCCCGGGGGAGGAGGTGGCAAAGAACCTCAGTAATCTCAGTAAATAGTGCCATCATCAGTCTCGTTTACTCAAACCAGAAACCCAAGAATCACCCCGTTTCTCCCTGTCACCCCACATGTAAAATCCACTGCCAATTCTATAGGTTCTATTTTCGGAATATCACTTGAGTCCGTCTGTTTCCGTTTCTACCGTTGCCACCTAGTGTAAGCCACTGCTTCAGCAGTCTCCCCTGGGCTTCCTTCCTCTGCAGCCCCTCCTCCCGCCTGCGATTCACAAGGCCTGAAAGTAATCTTGACAGACATAAATTAGGTCACGTCATTACTCTGCTTACAATTTCCAGTGGCTTCCCACCACACTTAGGCTGAAATCAGGTTTGCATGGTTTAGTCTCCATATCTTCTTTCTAGCCTGATCTTGTAGCAGCCTGTTAGTATGCGGGGCAAGACAGCGGTCAGCCGGGGCTGCGAGCAGTACGGGGTCTCAGCTCACCCAGCAGGAGGAATGGGTGGGCGGACGGGAGGGCTTGCGAGGAGGACGTCTGAGTGGACTTCTGCAAGCAGAGTAGAGGTGCACCGGAGGAGAAAGGAAGGAAGGAGCCTTCCAGGCAGAGGCGTGTTCTAGATGCAGAGGGAAGGGCCGCCCGAGCCCCGGGCACCGCCGAGCCCCGCCGCAGCCCGGCGGGCGGGCCCTGCTCAGGAGGGGCCTCTGCTGCGTGCTCAGTCAGAGTTCAGTGTGAAGCAGCAGGAGCGCCATCGATGGGCAAAGTGTGAGGCTAGGTCAACTTTTTAGTTTTCATTTTTAAAGGCTGGCATGTATTCTCTTTTAAATTATTCACAGAAATGAAAGTAGACTTTCATAGCGTTATAAGATGCTGGGTGTTTTTGTTTAATTCGCTTGAGACTAGTCCCACCTTGTTATAAAATCCTCAGTCAACTTATTTTTTGTGGTGCTTTGGACTTTTTAGACGTTTGTACCATCAGAGGAAGAGAAAAATCATGAAATTCTAGAACCATCGGAAAGTCCCTCTGGGAAAAAGCCGACTGGAACAGGTGAGCTCCTGTTACCTGTTGCTCACGGTATGTTTTCCTCGCATGTGCTTTTACCCATCATTGCAACTGAAAGTCAATGTCCGATTCGTCATAATACGCCGGCAGGCCATGTGAATTTTTAACATATACCTCTTTCTGTGAAGTGTCAATTAATTTTAACCTAAGGCGGTTGTTCCCATCTCGCATCTCCACATCATTGTGGCAAAAAGAAAGTTCTTTGAGCAAACTCCTGCTCTATCCCAAAAACGTGCCTCTGCGCCTTCCTGTCCTTCCAGGTGCTGTCATCTCAGCTCTTTTCCAAAAGGCAGGTCTGAGGCCCAGGCGCCTACTCCTTCAGCCCACCCCCACCCCACTCTTGGCCCTTGACCTCTGGCCAGCGCCCAGTGACTGCCAAAGCTGCTGCCAGCCTGAATGGCCCCTTCTCTGTCTCTCTGTGCTGCAGCCTTCAGTGTCCACTGCAGACTCTCAGGGGGAGCCTCAGTGTCAGAAAGGACTAGGGCAGCAACTCTCAAACTCTGACCTTACGACCACTTTACACTCTTAAAAATCATCGATGACCCCAAAGAGCGTTGTTGTATGGATTATACCCGTTGATACTTACCAAATAAGAAATTAGAACTGAGAAAGCAATAAAGTATGCCTTAATTCAATCTAATTAGCTCGCTGTAGGTTAATGTAAATAGCTAAATTTTCCAAAACAGCAAAATTTAATAAGAGAGGTGACATTGTTTTACATCTTTGCAAATCTCTTTAAGTCTAGGTTAATAGAAAGAAAATAGCTGGTTTCTCATATCTGTGTCCATATTCGGTCTGTGGCTATTTGTTGTTTTGGTTGAAGTATATGAAAAAAATCCAGCATCAGACATACATGGTTGCATTTAAATAGTCTTTTCAGACAACTGCGGGTATGTCATGTGGCCTCTGGAAGACTCCATTGTGTACTCACGAGTCTAAAAGGTGAATAACATCTTAGTGTTGTTATGGCAATGGCTTTGGACCTTGCGGACCCCTCAGTGGAAGGTCTCAGGAGCTCCCCGGGGTCCCTGGGCCACACTTTGAGAACCACTGGGTCTCTGGGTTAGGGAAGTAGAAGTGAGAAGAATTGTGACAATAGAGAATTACTTTTGATTTGTACTCTAAGTCATTATTTTACCTTGTCTTCTGATTCACAGCACTAACTAGAAGAAAAAATAATAATAACCTTAGAGAATGTGACCAAATTTAAGCAAGTTCTCCGTTTTGTTTTTTTTTTAAATACAGTGTTGAAATGTCTATGCAAGTCAGATGGAATAATTAGGGTGATTTTGGTTCCAAGTAACAAAACCTTACAGATATTTGCCTAAAGGAAATTGATTAGCTCATTGTCTTAGTTCAGCCTCTGGAAAAATATCTCTGTCCTGTCATTCTTGGCCGGAATCCTAAGACTTACTGTATCTACTTCGCTTTAAGTAGCCGTGTCCCCACAAACTGAATCACCGTGACCAGGTGAATATTAATTGCCGGTTGACTTAAGTCCGGTGCTCTGTTCCTGCACCGTGCTGGAGGAGCAGCCATTCTCCCCTGCGGTCACCTCAGCCCTGTTCATTGGGGTGATTGATAGACATGACCCAGCCCGGGGAAGCAGTGGGGAATCGCGATGGCAGGTGTGGCCTTGCCCCCAGGGGCTCGTGGACATGGACAGTGCCGGTGAGGGAGGTGCCATCCGCAGTATAGACACGCTCGTGGCTTCGGGGTCGCTGTGCTGCACAGGGCCTGGGGGAAGGCCTGGGTGTGAGCTGGCCCGGTATCTCTCCCTCCTCTGATTGTGGAAAGTAAGATACAGAAAAGTGTGTAATAAGGTCCCGCTCCTCATGAATACCCCCTAGATACACGTCTGTAGTTAAACAACAGTGAAGTCATAGCATTGGCACTGTTTTATAATTTCGTGGTTTTTTTGGTTTTTTTTTTTTTTGCTCAGCCACATGTTGCGGGCATCCTTCATTGTCACTGTATACAGATCGATGTCATCTGTTAGCTGAATAGCTAAAATAGTAATCTATGATTCATTTTCCTGTTTGTTAGATCTTTTAGGAATCTCCCGTTTTTGTAGTTTTCACTATTGTAAATAAAGCCGCAGCGAACTTCCATATGCACGTAACTATGCATTTCTCAAGGTATTCCCATAAAGGTTAAATGGTGGGGGGCGGGGTTCAAAGGATACCTGAGATTTGAATTTTGACAAGCACTCGTCACTTCCACTGTCTTGGAGCGGAATATTGAAGGCCGTGTAGGTGTGCACTGGGCGGAGAGGCAGAGAGGGGGCGCTATGGGAGTCCTGCGTCTCAGTCCTCACCCAGGACGGTCTGGGCGGTCCCGGGGCGGA